ATGCTTTATATACATTTTCCTTATTTAATACAACAACCTTTTGTTACCAAGATTGTTATTAACAGATCCCCAATAAGAGATAACTGTTACTGATCCCTATTAAACCAAAGTCATAGGAGAGTTAAATAATTTGCCCAAGGCCCCACAGTAGTGGGACTAGAATTAGATCAAAGTGATCTCCATCCAAGTGCACTTTGCCCCGTGCCTTTGTTGATCACCACCCTCAGATATGTCTCCCAGAGCATAATTCTGGTTGTATTTCTTCAAGTCTTCAAATGCTCCATGTTACACTGCCGCTGCCACTACCACTGCCACCATCAGATAAATCTCTAGGCCAGTGAACTCAAGATCCTGCGTGGTCTGCCAGACGACTCTTACAGCATTGTCCCCCATGTGCAGATCTTTCATTTGAACTTGTTGCCTCTCTGCACCTCAGTTCTGTCTCACTTCAATGCTTTGAGTCACATAGCCCAGGTAATTAGGACACCTTTGGCCTTGTCGTCAGCTGTCTCAGTCTTGGCGCCCGTCTGCAATCTGCACTTCCTTGAATATATCTGGATGAATACAGTCCTGTATGGTGTATCTGTCTACCACTCACCTTTCTGAGTTCTCTATGTACACCTTAAAGGTGTTACCACATCCTGATTTGCATTTTGCCATTAGTAGACACATAATTTCCCTTCTTACATTGAGATCTCTTTATAAGCAGGGAACAGATCTTATTTTCTTCCTTGAGCTTTACATATAGGTCCTCTTACAGAGCACCACACCTAACGAGTGTTTAGCACATAATTTGTTGATTGACTGGCCGAATGAATGTATTTTTTGTTCATTTGTTCTTTTGTTCATTCATCTTCTGAAGTAGCATCTTGAAAGCAGGCTCAGCTCGCAAACAAAATATCCCATTGTGTTTCTGGCATGGGCCATTGCTCTCATCCAGAGTATTTCTCCTCTGTCTATCTCCCTGTCTCCCTCCCTCTCCTTCTTCCTCTCTCCCCTTCTGTCCTGACCCTCCCCTGACTTTCATGTGACTTCAAGCATGTCACTTGAACCTCTCAGTGACCCCAGCTGTGAAACTGGCTGCCTAGTGTCACAGAAGGATTGTAGGGAGCAGCAAATCGCAGTCCTTGTCCACACGGAATCACCTGCAGGCTCGATGGCTCTGTAGGATGAGGAGGGGAATCTGATTTCCCAGCCAAGTGGGCAGTGGGACCCGCACTTCGGATGGCTTTGGAAACAATTAGATGAGAGTCCTTCACAATCAGTTACTTTTCTATTCCTACTCAGAATCTCTGCGATTTTTATGAATTTTTAAGTGTTCTTGGTTTTTAAACTGAAAAATGTATTGTACTATTCACCTTTTTTACACTTAAGTAGTGAGGAAGTATCATTTCAAATATTCTAAAAAGAAACTGAGATTTGGAAAAAAATAAAAGTACCTTGAATTTTGATTTTCTATCATAGAATTTAGAAAATGCCCTCCCTCAAAGAGAGTATTTTGGAAATGATACTAATCACATTTACAAGATAACTGTTTGATAGTGACCTGTGTAACTCTTGAAATGTGTTTCTAAGTAGCTGTTTGTTTGCGTGTTTGTTTGGTGTAGGTAGGCAAGACAATTGCAAGTAAGTAGAGCAGAAAACAAATTTAAAAAACTGTTAGCTATCATGCAGACAGAACCTTTTTATACCATTAATGTATTCTATAAAATCTTTCAAATAGTAATGCTTGGAGGATTTAATAGATTTCCCAGTATTGTTTGTTTTCTAACTGGGAAAAATCCATCTAAAAAGAAATTTCTTATAGCATGTGCTGATTATCATTCTTGGACTGCTTAGGGGTTTCTGCTCCTTTTAAACTAGCATTTAAATGGACCATTTGATTAATCATTTGTATACTGACTGTAATCCTCCCAAATTTCCTTTCTGAGTTGTACATACTGTAAAAGACAATTATGTCACCACAGATTAAATAAGTGAATTAAAGCAGAATAGCAGCTTAATTTGACCTGTGATTTTGCTCTCCTTCCCTTTAGTGGCGCGTGTGCCACTCCAGCAAATAAATGAAGTCACCCATGACAGCTTGTGATGAATTGCCGTATTTATACTGTATATTTTAATAGCCTCACACTAATTTAAATTGAGCACAGAGTAAATTATAATTCCGTCACTTGACTGCTTGTATTTAACTTGACAACTCATCCTTATTTGTCCTGGAGGTGTAGCGGAGAACAGGGGAAGCGCACTCAGGTATTTCAGCTTCTCACTTAACCCTTTCTCCAGGAAATACTTTATATTCAAATTCTTGCCAATTTAAAGTGTTTAGTGCTTCCTGAGGAGAAAATAAACAGAACTCAGGCAGTCCATACTGTCCTGTACTTGGACAAGAAAATGAGCCTTTGCTATGCTTTTCTCTATTGCCTTCAAAGAAAGAATTGGTCTTATTTATTTTTAGCAGCTTTTAAAGCTCACTCACAAGAATGCCCAGGGGAAGGGGAATTAACCTTCCACCCAGAGTGCCAGGTCTCCCAGAAAATAGAGCATTTGATTAGTTACTTTGAGATAGATTTTACTTTCTCTCTCAAGTTCCCAGAAATTATTTTATTCACTTTGTCATCATTATGGAGTCTTCAATTTTCTGGACTACAGCAAATACCAAGAATGATGGGGACCAATTAGAGTACAATGTCTTAGCTCCACAAACAGCATTGCTTGGAACAGTATTCCTTGCTCCACTTTGGATTAGTGGGGTACTTTTGTTATGGTGTTTATGCCTTTTGTTTTAAATGTAGTTGTACAAATTAAACAATTTCTACAATTTCCTTTGTGTCTAGCAAGAGCTCATGGTTGTGAGGAACATTTTAATTAAATTCCACATCACATAATGGGCACTACGGTGAGTCAAACATTATGCTGGGTGCAGGGGACATAGAAGCACAGTATGTGAAGCGTCAGTCCATACCCTTCAGGGGCTTGCTCTGAAGCCTCCAGCCTGTAGTTTTCAGGTAGTGAGGGACCAGTTCTTAGGAGAAATATAAAGGGTAGGTGCTGAGCTGGATTCTGATAGCATGCTTTGGGATCGACTGCTTGGAAGTGGAAAGGCTTTCAGGCTGGGTCAAGCTGGTCAAATAGGTTTTAGCCCACAATGCGTGTGTCAACCAGGAGGCCTCACCTGGGCTCACGTGAGCAGGGGTGTGGGGTGGTGAGAGTTAGAATAAAGAGTTGAGCTGGAGTGTCTTAAAGGGCATGCTAGAGCTTTTGATGTATTCTAGGCTGTGGCAACCCAATTAAGACAATGCTGTGGTCTCAGTAGTTTTGGATTAATTCCAAGGTGTGGGCTAACCGTGTGGAATCTTGTCATTTCTAGGTTGGTTGCCCAGAGATCCATTAGGTCTTAGTAATCTCGTTTCTTAGCACAGCATAAGTGGCATTTTTGAAACCTTAAATAAATGATTCTTAACATTATTATTAGTTAGAAAGTCCTTGGAGGAGCTTTTATTTAGATTATACTAAGATCTGGGGCCCGACCCATTGTTCTGGAACAAGATTTTGCACTCGGGATATTTTAAATTGCTATTGATAACTAATTGTAAGGTCAGAGTTGAGAAGCACTACTTTCACATCAATAATAAGTATTTATTTTAGTAGAGTTTTTTTAGGGTAGAAGATTCCTAGTATTTGACATGGTGGTATTTTATGGCATAGAATTAAAAGACCATTAGATGAATTTATTTTGTTGTGAAGTTTTATACAGGAACAAAATGTAAGTGAATATAGTTGGCAAATGACTATTGATCGAGAGAGGTGTTTAAATGTTTCTTGGCAGTTCTGTATTACACTTACAAGCTAGTTTAGTGAGAGCTTTTATAAATAACCCTAAAGCAAACTCTTGATAGAAATTGGTGCTGCCTCTATTTTTTTAAACTTCCCTTCCCTCAAATGGATGTCAGTACTAAAAATGTATGTTTTCAAATTGTCCTTTTCTTTCCCTGCTCTGTCAGCAGTATACAATTCCTGATTTATGTTTTTTCTCTAGTATTCTTTATTTGTAATACAGAATGTAAATCAGTATCGTGTAGTGTACAGTTATGCCACACTTGTAATCTTGAATGTTGTTTTTACCTAGAAATGTGTAGTCAGAAACTCTGCCACAACTCTTAAAAATTGTCTTCCATTTGTTTTATTTCTTGTGTCTTTTTAAGTAAAAAACAATTTCCCTTGAGTTGGTTCCACTGAAGTGCTTAGTAAATTTTGAACAGTTGATCCACTTAAAAAAAAGCGGGTGCTTGAAATAAGCTAAAATCTATCCTGTGTAAATTTGTAAATTGTTTACATTTCTATGTTACAAGCCCAGCTCAGTAGCTGATATTCTAAGGAAAACCATTAAGCATCCAGAAGTTGAGTCAGAGAGGGACCCAGCCCTGCCACACAGCGGGTCTCTGAAAACAAACCTTGGTGACTTCTTCCTGAAATGAGGACGTTAGGTGAAATGAGGTGCCTTCAAGCTACAAATGTCTGTAACAATATTAGCAAAGAAATACTACCCACTCGGGAGAAAATAAAAAGTGACATATTTTAAAAACTCTTACCTCTTGCATAACTAAAAGCCCCATTTTAATGTTATCATCCTAGCTGCTTCTTACCTAGTGTCTAAATAATGACTATTCTCTTTTAATGGCTCGGGGGTCATTCGTACCTTCCCCTTCTGAAAATAACCAATATGGTTAAAATAGAGGGCATAAATTAAGAGTGTTATAACTTAACCGACTTTTAAAGCCATTAATGCTGACCTGTGTGGCCTGGGTTTTTCCTGGATCCCATCAATCACCTCTGTACCGCCTCCCCCTCGTGAAGACCCAGGCAGATGCGGAAGGCGTTTGTAGTACTGGGGGATGGTGAATGAAACAGCACTTCTTGGTCATTACATTTCATAATGATTATAACTGTATTTCATGTGAAAATGGATAAATGTTTTAGTGTTAATGTTTTCCTGTATTTAGGTCATACTATTAGATATTACACTGGAACTTCAGAAGCAAATTATGTCTGAATTGGAGATTCTTTACAAGGTAATTTTTTTTCCTGGTCATTTTTTTAACTTGTAAAACATGCTTTTGGCATGGATTTGCAGGTTTCTAACTAAATTTTTTCTTATTTTTTATTACAGTGTGATTCATCATATATCATAGGGTTTTATGGGGCATTTTTCGTAGAAAACAGAATTTCCATATGTACAGAATTCATGGATGGTGAGTGTTTCATTTTGACAGTATTTTTTAAATGATTTTGGAGGAGTTTGCTTTTAAACCTGGATTTGATATCAAATAGAATAAAATGATTAAAATATACTAGTAATTGCTTTCTTTATATTCTAAAATCCTCTTGGTGTTAGGGGTTCCTGGTGTTAAATATTTATAGCATGGCTGTAATTTCAAGAATGTAACTTCATTTACTTTTATTGAAAATTTAAGTAGAACAGATTAAACGCTAGTCTAATCGGTGGTTTGATATTTGATTCGTCTATACAATCTGTCTTTACTTGCAAAACAGATGTTCTGTTCTTTTAGTGTTTTAATAGCCAACACAGATTTTCTTTTAAAGAAATCTATTAACCCAATGTCCTGTGTCTTTTGGAAAGAAATCAGTTCTTAATTGCTAGATAAGAAATTGTTTTTCAACGCAGCTGTTTACCCAAGTCGTGTTTTGTTTTATTTGGACTTTAGTTCTTCTCGTTTATTTCTATTTTGGTACTTCTTTCTTGGACTGACTGTTGTGGCAGAAGAAAGTTCCTGCGTATCCTGTAAGTGAAACGGCCATCGCCACTGTTTGCACACTTGAAAGCTAAGCGGCCTTTCAACTTTACGCGCTCAGTCAGTTTCTCCGTGTCTGACCCATTGATACTTCACATTTATGCACATACACATGCGTGCAGGCAGCTCTTCATGGGCTTTCTCAGTATCCTACTAAAGCAGTCAGTTCATGCTCTGTCAGACTTTTAATGACTCAACACTGACACCTGTACTAAAGGCCAGATGTGGTGGTGCTTGCCTATAATTCCAGCACTTGGGAGGCTGAGGCAGGAGGATCGTTGCAAGTTCAAGACCAGCCTTAGCTACAAAGTGAGCTCAAGGCCAGCCCAAACTGCATAGTGAGACCCTGTTTCAAAAAAGAAAAAGGGGGAGGGGGGAAAATATATATGTATTTGATTTGTCTATACCATCTGTCTTGACTTGTAAAACATGTTCTGTACTTTTAATATTACATATATAGAGAGAGTATAATGTATTCAAAATTACTTTTAGTAGATGTCAAGAATTTAAAATCTTTATATAAATTGTATGTCAATTATGGAGATAGTCTAGAAACAGCAGATTCATAGAGACAAAACAGGTTAACTCTTTGAGACTTTCATCATTCTTTGAAGTCTTCAACTTTTCAATTATATTAAAATGTTTTTATTAAGATGCAATTCAAATACTATAAAACTCACTCTTTTAACACGTGCAATTTAGTGGTCTTTAGTGTATTCTAAGGTTGTACAGCCATCATCACTATCTAATTTTGACACATTTGTTTCGATTCCCTGAAAGAAAATTCCTACCCATTGTAAGTCCCCTGTTAGTCCGCTTCCCTTGAGCCCCTGGAAGCCATTGATGTTCTTTCTCCCTCTTGTGTTTACCTGTTCTGGACATGTCACATGTATAGAATCCTCCAGTATGTGTGAGGCCTCTGTGTCTGGCTTCTTGCACTTAGTGTAGTCTTTTGAAGGATCATGCATTCCGTTTTACCACTGAATAATATCCATTGCATAGCTGTATGATGTTTTGCTTAGTCTGTCAGTAATTGATGGTCATTTAGGATATTTTCACTTCGTGCCCAGTCATGAATAATACTACTACATGCATTTATATACAAGTTGTGTGAACATATGTTATATGTTTTGGGTTTATATCTACGAGTAGAACTGCTAGGTCATATGATAACTGTCTAACTTTTTGAGGATCTGTCAAACTGTTCTGTTCCATTGTATACCATTCTATATTCCTGCTAGCATTGTATGAGGATTCTGTTTTCTGCCTGTGTTTGTCAATGATGTGCCTTTTCTGCTTTCTTAAAAAGCAGTACCTCATTTGGGTTTGGTTTAGATTTCACTGAGAACTAACGATGTTGGCCATCTTTTCATGTTCCTACTGACCATTTGTATATCATCCTTTGGGAAGTGTTTGCTCACATTTTCTTTTGTTTCCCTCCCCCCACTACCACCCCAGTATGGTGGCTTGGACCCAGGGTCTTCAAGAGCTGTATCTGCAGCCTCTTTCTTAAAAATTTACTTTGACAGAGAGTCGTGCTGTTGTTCGTGCTGGGCATGAACCTGCAGTCCTCCCACTGCGGCTTCTGTAGCTTGTGCCACTGTGCTCAGCTTCTTTGTCTGGTATTTTTTAATGGGTTGTTGGTGTTGTTATTATTAGCTTATAAAAGCTCTTCATTTGTTCCAGATACTGGGCTCTTATTAGGCAAAGGATGTGCAAGTTTGTTTTCATTCTATGAACTTTTTCATTTTCTTAAGAGTGTGCTTTGAAGTACTAAAGTTTTAAAATGTGGTAAAATCCAATTTATCTACACTTTTTGGTTGCTTATGCTTTAGGTGTCATATATAAGAAACTTAACTGATTGAGTATCACAAAAATTTATACCTGTTTTCTTCTAACAATTTTATAATTTTAGATTTTATTTTATTTTTTTATTTTTTAGCAAAGGGTCTACACGGTGTTCAGGGTCTCAGTATTAGATCAGACTTGTAGTGGTCTGTGTACTTAGAGCCTCGCAAGAGCTGGGATTACAGGCATGTACCACCACACCCAGTCTCTTAGCTTTTATTTTTAAGTCATTCATCCATTTTGAGTTAATTTTCTAGGTGGTATAAGATAGGTGTCCAAGTTCATTCCTCTATACATGTATATCCACCTGTCCTCACACCATTTCTTAAAAAGATTATTTTCACTTTTGAAGTTTTGTAGCACCCTTGTTAAAAATTAGTTGACCATAAAATGTATGTCTGTACTCTCATCTTATTCCATTGATCTATTTGTCTATCTTTGTGGCATATTTGTTCTTTTTTTTTTTTTCTTTTTGGTGGAACTGGGGATTGAACTCAGGCCCTTGAGCTTGCCAGGCAAGTGCTTATTCTACTGAGCCATCTTCCCAGCCCCTCTTTATGGCAATACCACACTGTGTACTTGACTATTCTAAAGTATCATTTTATAGTAAGTTTTGAAATTGAGAAGTGTGAGTGCTATAGCTTTTTTGGCCATTTCTAGGTGTCTTGCATTTCTGTGTGACCTGACCTGTCCTGTCCTGTCCCATCTCATCCCGTCCTGTCCTGTCCCTTCCCTTTCTTTCCTTTTCTTATGAATTAGAATCAGTTTGTCAAGATCTCCAGAAAAACTTCCTGGGATTTTGATAGGAATTTTGCTGAATTTGTGGATCAATTTGGGAAATATTACTGCTTTTTAACAATATTAAGTCTTTGAGCTGGGCGTGGTGGCATCTGGGTATAATGCCAGCATTCTGGATCCTTCTGAGGCAGAAGGATCACAAGTTCATACCCTGACTGAGTGATCTGGTGACATAGAGAGATTTTTGTCTCTAACAAAAAAGTTAAAAAGGTCTGATGATGGACCTCAGTATGTAGGCCCTGGGTTTAATCCTCAACCAAAATATATATGTATGCATACATTACATATTTTATACATATGCATATACTATATGTACACATAGATATTCTGTTTTACCTTTGAGATTTTTAAGTGATGTTTTATAGTTTACAGTGTACATGTTTTATCTTATCAAATTTATTCTTAAATTTGCTCATTTGTTTATTGTGGTTCTAGATTACACTGAATAGCACTCAGCCCTTTATTTTTTAATTTTTATTTTTGAGTCAGTTTCATTAAGTTGCCAGCTTGCCCAGGATGGGTTCGCACTTGTGATCCCCCTACCTTGGCCTCCCAGAGTGCTGGAGTTGCAGGTGTGTGCAACTACACCCAGCCGATTCACTAAGTATTTTTTTAAATGATACTGGAAATTGAACTCTTTTCTTCATTTCATTTGTGGATTATTCACTGCTATAGTATATATTCCTGGATTCAGTTGTGTGTGTGTGTGTGTGTGTGTGTGTGTGTGCTGGGATCTAGCCCAGGCTCTTTTGTGTGCTGAGCACCTGGTCTGCAGTTATTGAGAATCTGGCATTCATGTTTATATTGGTCTGGTTTTGCATGTCATTGTTTTCTATATCAGGATAATATTGCATCTAGGTTACCAAATTTGTTGGTGTGCAGTTGTTCCTACTATTCCCTTATAACACTTTCTGGAAAATTGGTAGTCATGTTCTCACTTTTATTCCATATTTTAGCAAGTTGAAGAAACTTGAATCTTTTTTCTTCTTGGCCAGAATAGCTCAAGAAATGCTGCTTTAGCTGAATTCTTGCAGTTTTGTTATATTGTGTTTCTGATTTCTCAGAAGACATTCCTAGTGATTTCCTTTTGACTTGTTTTTATTTAGAACTGTGTCATGTAATTTTCACATATTTGTAAATTTTTCAAATTCTCATCTATTGTTAATTTCTCATATTCCATTGTGGTTGAAAAACACTTTGCATGACTGCAATCAGTTTAAATTTATTAAGACTTTCATTTTTGAAAGCTGGATAGTGAAGTCTCTAAATAACATTTTTAAGTCACTGCTTTCTTTTTATGTTTATGCTTTCCATATTTTGGCTCTATTAATTAGTAACATATTAAGATTATCATTGTTACAACTTCATGATGGATTGACCCTTTTATCATTTAAAGTCTTTCTTTTGCGTTAGTGATATCTGAGTAAAAACTTATTTCTGATATTAATATAGTCACTGCAACTCCCTGTTAATTTTTTTGCATGTGTTATATGTCTTATTTCTGTCACTTACATATAATTTCTTTAATCTTTTGCATCTGAGTCTATTCTGCCAGTAACTTATTTAATCAGAGTACTTAAATCATTTTCACTTGATATAATTACTAACAAGGTAAATTTTCTATCTGATATTTTACTATATCTTATGTCTTATGTTCCTGTATCCCTCTATTATTACCTTATTTTATGTTAAGTATTTTCTAATGCACTGTTGAAATTGCCCTATGGTCCCTGTAATCCCAGTACTTGGGAGGCTGGTTGAAGCAAGAGGATCACCATGAGTTTGCAGTCAGC